AACCAGGAGGCTTAAGTGGAAGACCTTTAAAAGATAAATCAACCAAATTGATCTCAGATTTCTATAAACTAACTAATGGTAAACTTTTATTATTATTTGAAAATGTTGCTAAAAAAACAATTTAAAGTATCTTGATAATTTTGAATCTGTGGCACGATATCTTGTGATTTAGTTAATGTTTTTGTTATACAAAACAAAATATTAAAAAAAATTGTTTTTGTTTAACTACAATTAATTTTCAAAATAATTAAGAGTTTAATTATCTGTTTTTAGGTAAAATCCCTATAATAGGCGTTGGTGGAATATTTAATGGTCAAGATGCTTATGAAAAAGTTAGGGCTGGTGCTTCACTTTTGCAAATATATACATCATTTATTTATAATGGTCCACCAATTATAACAAAAATAAAAAAAGAGTTAGAAACCCTTTTAAGGTAAAGTTGAATATTTTTTATTACTTTGTTAAAATTTTATTACATTTACTAAGTTGAAATATTCTTGAATTAGCGGTTCTTTTTAATTTATGTTTTTTATAATTAATTTGTAATGTAGTAACTTATTTTAATATATTGTTAAATACCCTGAGAGGTGTATTTGATTATATGTAGTTCGTTACTGCCACGCGTATAGTGGAAGGTTTAATTATCTGTATACTAAGTGTATCTATTTAATTGAAAAGTTGACTATAATACATTTGCAGCTTACACGAATGCGTGTTAATCATTTTTAATTGACCAATAATTTTATATTAGCCTATCTTTTTTCATAAAATAAGTTAGGTTATATCAGGTGGCTGACCAGTGCACTTCCTTCTAAGAATAACTAAGCCATTGTCTATTACCTAGCACGTTGCTCTGATGTCATTAATTGTACCTTGTACTTGTTACATTTAAAGAATAAATACTAGAAATTATATTTAAATGGTTTAATATTTTTCATTCTACTAACTCTTTTACACATTTTTTTTAAGGGAGAACAACTATAAGTCAATATCTGAAGCTGTCGGCGTTGATTCAAAATAAATTTTTGGTATACAATATCAAAACGTTAATTTTAAATATTGTTTGAGTTATTAATTTTTTAATTATTATAGTTGTTATTTTTTGACAAAAATTAATAAAAATTGTTATTAGTTAATAATTATCTCAATTGATTTTTTTTTATATTAATAAGGCATAAAACCTGTACAAAGATAACAAATTACAGCTATAATTTTAATAGGATAAAATATAAAGTCAATTATGAAAAATATATTTATTATATAAATATACTAAGTATAAATTATATTTAGTAAGGTTGCTAAAAATTATTTAAAATTGATAGAATACAAAAAATCAAATGATTAAAGTCTAGTTGTAAAAATTGAATACAACCATATTGTATGTAAAACCTAATGAAAATTATAAACAATCAATAAAATATATTAATTTATTTTATAATTTTATTTAAGATTCTTTTTTATAAGATATTACAAATCTAATTTTTAGTTATTAATTTTAGCTTTAAGCTGAGGAAGACCTTGTTTGCAATAAGGTTTGCTTTTCCCTTCTACGTCATCTTTTGTAACATGTACACTAATAATATTATTTCCTGGTATTTCAAACATTGGTTCTAAAAGAATGGATTCCTAAAATATTGATTGATTTTTATATATTAAAAATAATAAACATAATGAGTTTTACAATGCATCTAATAAATTTATAAATCTTATTATACAAATGATACTTTTAAAATATAGTGCTGAAGTTACATTTAAGAGGTCTAGATACAAATTAATAACAGGTTCTCTAAAGATATTTCACTTGCTAAAAAATATTTTAATTTATTAGCATGTAGTCAAGTTTTTAGGGTATTATGTTTAATTAGCTATTCAAGTTTTTTGACCTATTAATAGACATATTGTTTAAAAATTAATCACACAAAATGACAGAGAAAGAAAATTGCACAGAAAAATATTGTAGTAAAATTATTAACTTTTCAGATTTTCTTAAAATGTAACCAAATTTGAAATAAAAAGTCATAGGTAGACTTATTATAATTTTCCAAGTATGGTAAAAATGTGAGGCTTCCAAAATCCTTGGAATATTGAAGT